AATGAAATCCCAAATAATCTTTTTTTTTAACATCAGTGTAGACTTTCTCATATCTTGCTCCTTGATTATTCAAAAAAAGTGGATTTTGAATTTTATTTTCAAAATTTTTAGAAAATAATAGGAAAGTGAGCAAGTGACAGTTAAAATTTCTGTACTCCTCCACCCAGATCCATGAAAGCTGGAAGAAGAATTCAGGCAGCCAGAAGCCACACAATGAGACAGGACACTTTAAAGTCATCAGCTACATTCCCAGGCAGGCAGTGCACATAAGCTTCAGATGTTTTTATGCAGATGCATTACAAGGTAGCATCAAAAATCTGCACTGGGACTCTTTGTGATACTTGTGCATTGCTGGGAATTTCTGGTTTCAGTCTCAGGTGATAAAAAAAAAATAAATCTGATGGTTATTAAAAATATTAACAAGTGATAGTCCCACTGTTTTGGGTAAATACACTTTAAATTTTCACTCCCTTAAAATTTAAACAATGCAGCTCTCCCCTTTGGTTAGTGCACTGCAACTATCCAGGTAAGCAGGACAGCGCAAAGAAAATTTTGGACATTCTTCTGCCAAAATTGACTGTTGTATTTCAGTAACTAATTAAGTGGTTTTTAGAGCAGGTTTGGAGCGAATAAGATCTAGCTTTTGTCCACTTGGTTGTTCTCCTTCAGGAAACCTATTGGAACTAAAACCTGTAGGTTTACTTCTACAGTGGAAAAGGAACATCAGCCCCAAGGGCGCAGGTCTAATTCTCCTTTCTGCTTTTTTTGTTTGTGTTGGGTTTTTTTGCTGTGTTTTGGCAGTGGATTTTTTGTTTGGTTTAGGGGTTTTTTTCAGTCTGGAGAACGTAAAAGACAAGGTGAAGTTACCCCATCATGTTTGCAAAGGCAAAGGAAGATTTGTCACTGCTGGCAGCACATGTGCAAGGTCCCTGTTCCCCGGCTGGTGCTGTCTTGTCCAGCCAACCCAGCGGTACCCACTGTGCACATCTGCTGCTCAGATGGGAGCACACAGCCCAGCGCTCCCTCGGTGCCTCGGTGCGAGCTCAGGCACGGCACACGGCTGACATGGCACGCAGCTGACACCGCACACGGTGACAGCACACGGCTGACAGCACACGGTGACAGCACACAGTGACACAGCACATGCACAAACCCCGACACACACCCAGCCTGCCCCACTGGGCACGGAGAAAAGGAGGGTCTCATTTCTGTCTGCATCCCTGACAGCAGAGTAAGGTACGGGAATTCTCTCTCTTACCTTCTTTTTCTCAGTGTAACTAACCCTAAAGCACATGGGAGGTTACCTTCAATTCAAAGCTGGTATGCAGGACAAATATAAACTATAATGAAATTATATGCTACTATATAATTAGTAAGATCATGGTAGCACAGAGTACTAGAAGCTAAGTCCAGGAGGTTTTTCTTTGGTTTAAATATTCAAATAAAGATACATATGCACAACTTCTCAAGGAAACTTATTCTGCACAACTGTGCCCATATCTCCGACCAGAAAAAGTTGATTACCTTAAAAAAATTATTCTTAGCTAACTGTATTATCTTTTCAGTAAGTTTTAGAAGCATGACAAAGCTAGATGTGAAGGAAGACTGCACCAAAAGGGGTGGAAGGTTTGAAGAAATGTATTCTCTCTGGTTGCAGTCCTTCCTCAACCCTGGCCTTGCACATGTGCTGCCAGCAGTGACAAATCTTCCTGTTCTTTTCTTGTAATTGTTTTGCATCTCCTCTGTCCCTGTTTGCAGCTTGTAATATGCTGTATTGTAAAGGCATTCCTTACTCTTTTTTTCTAGAAGTGGGACTAAACTGCCAGCTGGACATTGAACTGAGATAAGGCATAAGGCAGGCAGGCCAACTCCAACTTTAACTCTACAACAATTCAAGGCTGATTTATATTTTGAACTGTCACTCTATGGTTTACAAGGGGAAAAGTGTGAGCAAAGATTGAGATTTTCCTTCTATAAATCGTGGAAGGGTGAGGGGGAAGTGACAGATCTCATTTAAAAGCCTTATTGAAGTAGCCGTGTTGAATGATGGTGCCATTGCTTGTCTCTATGTCTTATTGTCATAATGTAAAGCCTTTTATAATTAGAAGAAACCACAGAAGTCAGGGTAAAGTACAACAGATCCAGAAAGAGCTGGAAACTTGAGGAAGGGGGGGAAAAAAACCAAACCAAAAAAACCACAAAAAACCAAAAAACAAACAACAATAGACACAGGCTGGAGAAGATATTTTATTTATTTGTTACTAGTAGTTAAAATGACGTACAAAATGCTGGGAAGAAAAAAACTCCAATTCTATTCAGTTACAAAATAATTAAAACTTCATTTTAAACCAAGTTTTGCTTTGTGAGACCGAGCATGAAAATACTGCAGCCTTAGGTTATATAGTCCATTGTTTTTAGAATAAAGCAGACATTTAAATACATATTGTCGTTGATATTAAATATCTCATATAATTGTAAGTTAGCAGAACTTTCTTACTCTCAGGCAATAACTAGCAATTCATAGAAGTTCTTTGTATAAAATTTACATGGGTGAGGGGGATCTGCCTCAAGGGGAGTTCCATCATGATCTATGCACAGGCAGTTTTAGAACATAAAGATTTGGAATACTTTTATCAATTTTCCTTGAGAATTTTAGACAAAACTTAAAGGAGTCACTGATGTTTGGAGCTTTGCATAACAGCTAAGGGGTTAGGGACATAGCAGTCTCTGTCAAAGAAAATGTGAATTTTGCTGTCAAGTTTACATGAAGAAAAAAATTATCCATAAGGTGTTCCCATTTCATGAATAAAAACCCAAGCTACTAAAAATTACCAGCAATGACTGAGGTTGGCCCTTTCCCCTGGGAAAAAAAATAAAAAAATCAATTTAAAGGAAAATATTCCCTGCCTATTGTCACTGAAAGAGAATTTGTATTAATAATAACATTAAATATCCTTATCTTTCTGTTTAACTATTCACATTCCACACAGTGGAAACCTACCTCCTATAATTCCAGATTTTAAAACTGGATTTTAAAATCCATGAAAACATGTGTCAAACTGCTGAGTGAGAGTACACCAAATGAAATGCATTTTAATAATACCAATAAATGAGTTGTGATCATTTAATTTTACAAACACAAACCTCACAGCAGTGGATTTTACAGCAAAAATAGATGAGTTGTAGAGATGCAGGATATCACCAATAAATGTATGATGCATTATATAACAGGTGGGACAACTGATAAAATGAGGCCACATAGGATGCACCTGTGACATGCCCCTCATCATATATTTTTCCCTTTGGGCATGTTACTAAGGGCAGAACTGTCCTCCTTAACATTCTGTGGCAAGAAATTATGTCAAAATAATCGCCTTGTGGCTGAGAGAGGCATCTGGTGGGAGACAGCACAGTTATACTGATGGTGGATCCTACAGAATATTGCTGCTCAGTGGGGAAACTGAGTCCTGGACCCTCCAAGACTCATCACACAGTAAGTGTGGACCTTTGAGTGCTGAGGATAGCAAGGACAACATGCATGGATGGCCTGCCTCTCTGGTCCAATCCCCAGGACACACCTCATTAAACTAACTTTTTTGTAGGACCTTCTGTGCTCTTGCCAAGCTTTACAGCCCTGATCAATTTTGAACAGCTAAGCCTGAAGGAAAGAAAAGACAAGATAACTTCACAGGTGAGAGTCATCGAGCTGTTGGAAGGAGGGTGTCCGCTTTTGTGTTTTTTTCCCCCCAAATGAGTGAGGCAGTCAGCCCTAAGTGTTCAGGAAATTCTCTTTACTTACTCCAAATCCAGTTTAAATGCAAGTCTGTGGTAAAAGATATAAAAAGAGGATCACTGCTGGCAAAGTTCTGCATCTCTGTTTCAACAAACTGCATGCCTGTGGCAAAGCTAAAATAACAATAACAATGCAATGTTTACTAGTCATGAATGTCGTGTCTTTTGTCTCTTGTGTGGTTATTGCATTTTCAGTCACATGATGCTTGTTTTAATTTTTGCTCTGCTCTTTATGTACTAAATTACTGCCATTCTGTACTTGATCTTGGTTAGCAAGATTTTTGTGCTGCGGTTATGTGTGTGAAAAAGAGGAGTTTGGATACACACAATGAAGTAGGCACACTCATTGCATGTATGTATAGATACCACTGCCTAAAAGATACTGCATATACATATATATGTAGATATGAAGAATAACTGATATCAGAAATACAAGACATCAAATGGATCTAGTGGCATAAGAATGGGTTCTGTTTGGTTTAGAGAGCCATCAGAATTCAGAAGTATATTTATAGCCTAGTATATAGTTTCTTTTTAATTTATGTAATATATGACTAGGTATATAAATTAAAGCAAAACGTAAACAGAAGACAATATCTCTTCCTCTGTGTATGTACCTTTCCTTTTCCTACTCCCTTTTGTGTTCTCCCTGTCTACTTGCTTTGACCTTTTGCTTTCTAAGTTGCTGTAGATCTGTTTCCCATCCACCTATACTGACTTTTCAGCACTCCCACGTTCCCCCATTGTTCTCCAGACATGGCTTTTGGATTACAGCTATTTTTCTGAAGAAGCATGTTACAAACTCTCAACACAGCTTCTATTTTCAGTGATGGCTGTGCTACACTTTAAATTGCTCTTTGTCTATTTCTTATATAAGAATAGATTATGCCTTGAAATATATTGTCCTCTCGCTTTGATGTTTCACATAATACAGTAAAAGCAAATAGCACAAAGGTGAACATTCGCAAAAGCCACAGCTCCACTTTCCCAGCAAGCGGCAAAATTGTGAATATACACATGAATTAGGAAACCCAATTCATGAATATGGGTAATAAGGGGTTTTTTAATGTCTCATACCCCACTGTTTTTTGGGGTTTTTTTTGTAGTGAACATTCATGCATTTGCTCATCCATACCCATTTTCTCCCTTACACACACACACATGCATGCCCTTTCCTTACATGAATTTTTTCTTTCTTTTTGGGCGGTTTTGCTTGTTTTAGGTAATTCACTAGGTCCCTTTCAGTTTTGCCCAGCCTTGAAGGTAGGCTAGTTCATGCCACTCACTCTCATGCTGGCAGTGATTGCATACAGTCAGAGTGCAATTGCTGCTTTTTCTCAGTTTAGTCCAAGTCAATAGATATACACCGGCACTCCTTAACTCGGGTGATTCTTTTTTTCTTTCTTGGGGGCTGAAGCTCGGGGCAGTTGAGTGTAACAGTCATAGTGGTGAATTTCTTGGGCTTGCAGAAGGAACAAGACTGGAAGGAGCCTTCTTCTTTACGGACATGCCTGGGGATATAGAAGGAATTGCACTGGCCATAGCAGAACCTGTTGATAATGGTACGACTGTTGCAGCCTTCTTCGTGGATAGTTTGTTTGAGGGGCTGGGTTTTACACCAATCCCGCTTCAGGTACTTGCGCTCAGTGATGTGCAATGCCTCCTGGCTGGACTCCAGCACCTCTTCAGCAGGCATCGAGGTGCCTTTTCCTCGCTCTCGATGCCTGGAGCCTGACTGCTGCTGTGTCTGCATTTGCTCCGAATCATTGGGCTGATCCTTGACGGGAGGAGGGATAGCACCTTGAGATCCACGATTCCTTTTTCTCCCTTCGGCTGCTGGCAGCAGAAATCCCATCAGAAGAAACAAGGCACCGATGGCATACAGTGTGCGGACCATCCTGTGTGAAGGAAGTTGAGGAAATAAAGCACAGTTGTGGATTTCAGATATCAACAGAAGCCAGGTATGCACTAAATTCTCAGTTCCATAAAAAATGTGTGCACACACACTTATAAAACATAAGCATTCAAGCCTGTACCAGCTGGAAAGTTGTTCCCAAATTACCAAGTGATAAAAGCTTTCAAATAGAGTGATTGAAAGTAAGCCCAAACAGAATTTTGTTTGTGTGTCCTTCATCTTTTTCCAGCTCTTTTTTCCAAGTGCATTACCCTAGTTCTCATTCCCTTCTTATAGCTCACTGACATATAGGAAGATTGCTCCTGACTTACAATGGTGGAAGTGATGAATTTTATACTACACAAGGATTCACTTACATGACACAGCCATCTACAATACCAGAGGGCTAAAGTCTTTGTCTCAGCAGATGCGGTCTAGATTTGTGCTCCCTAATCAAACTCAGAAACTTCATACAGTATATAATGCATATATTGTATATACCTGCAGCCAGTTTTACAGCTTCCCAACCTCTGCCACATTGCACCTCTAAAGGGGTCCCATGTATCTGAGTGTAATGATGCTTAAGCTGAGAGATGTGCAACAAGTCAGGCAACTAGCATTAAAGAATATTTAGGTACAGGTTAAAAGAGATGTGTCTTATCATTTCAAACTATGTCCTCTCGCGCATTGCTCTGAATCCTTGATTGAAGTAATGGAGATGCAATCACGGTGCTAAGAATTTTTCAGATCCCTAAATTTTATTCATTTTACACAGAATGGCATTGTCAGAGGACAGCAGAATTTTGTAAATGACAATAAATATCATAGAGTTTGTATAACTCTTTGATGTCATACAAAGACCACTTCAGTGCAGTTAAGTGGAGATGATCAGGTCCTTCAAAACCATATGGCTGCTGCAAACCTAATTATTGCATAGGAATAATTTTCCTACTTATACTTTCTTCCCTTATTCCACCATTTCTGATGCTTCCCAAATCTGAGTTCTTGAGACTGTTCAGCCACCTTAAAACACCAACCAGCACAGAAGAAACTCATCAGTGTCACACTTCCCCCTTCCAGAAGCACCATGGTTTCCAAGTTTTTCTGAAAGGAGTTATGTGGTAGCAAGACTGACAGATGAGGGAATAAATCTCTGAGGGACCCTCCCCATGGAAGCATGGAAGAAGGCACCAGAAACGAGCAAGTAATTGCAAGAAAACACTGTAAAACACTAAAATTGTGAAGAGACACAGGCATTAAAAAGGAAAAGGACTGTGAAAAGAAAATGCTAAGGAAGTAATTGTTTTCTACCTGCTTGGAGTGCTGCAGTTGTATCCCTCGTTTGACTTATCAGTATGGAAAAAGAATAGCATTTGAATTGAAGAGTCCTTCTTGTGTTACTACCCAAGAAACCACGGGCACTGTCCTGGACGGCTTCATCCGCTCTGCCTGAGACCACACAGCTAGGCAGGAAAGCAGCCAAATGCCAGTGCTGTGAGGGCCACCTAGAGACTCAGCAGAGGCGCAGGGTAAGTACTATTTGCTGTAAAAAATAACTGCTAATTTCTCAGTTATTAGGTCTTTCCAGTCACAAGGAGAAAATAAATGTTACACTGTTCAAATAGCATTTCTCACCAAATGGACTGGGAGAGGAATTCCTGAAGTAGAAAAGGGTCATAGGGGGTTCTACTACATTCAAGGAGTTGCTTGTGGATCTAATATTTTTAGTGTTTGTCAGCAGATTTTTAGAGCACCTAGAGTTCCTGATATATCATAGATGTGTACATTCTTTTCAGTAATATATGTACCAGCATGTCCTGTGTTTGGCAGTCAAGGAAGGGGTGTAAGAATGATACAATTGGTGACACCAACAGACAATTTGGAAGGGCTGCTGCTAGTATCTAAATTAAATATGGTATGGAACATGCAATTTTCACAACATTAAGGCTTTGATATAGACAAAAATAAGTTGGGAATTTCAATTTCAATTAAGGAATAATGCAGCATAATTTCAAGTGTCAGCCTGGACTTCACATTTGCTGTTTTTTCCTAATATCTATTACAACCTGAATATTATTTAAACATGTTTCAATTTTTTCTTTAAAATAATTTTTCAGAGAATTATTAACTATTGCTTATTCCTTCAAGAGATCAGAATGATTTCTTCCCAAACTATTCTTATTTCTCTGGTGAGTGTATAGACACCCTATTTTAATAAGCACTTTATTTACTCAACATGGTGCCAGAGTCTTAAAAGAAAAAAAAAAAAAGTGTTTGCATGAAGTTGAAAATAAATTGCTAGGTTGTAAGCAGTGCCAGAAAACTTCAGGTGTTTATTTTATTTAGTGTCCCACAACTTGGATGAGGTTCCACCAACATGTATATTCCTGGACTACTTTTATTTTTTAAACTGATTAGCTACACATTGTTTTCTTTCTTTTTTTTTCCCTCCATAGACATGCAGTCAATGACACAGCAAGGTCTAGTCCTTCGAAAATGAGGTGTACTCTGGGATGGGAATCTGGGGAAAATTTCATAGTAATATATACTACTGTAAGGTCTGTGGCCCAGATTCATGCAGCTTTATGAAGCACATGCTTATCCCTAAGGAAGTGCAAGCATGTGTTTCAGTGTAATCCTAAACTGGGAAGAAGGTAATTTTTCACTGGCTTGGTTTCCAGCCTTAAAAGTGGAAGCTGCATTACATGCTCATAAAAGAAATTGTAACTCAAATGAAAATTAGCTACTCAGCAGAAACATTTCTTATGGTCACTTCCAAAACACACACCTAAAAGTAATCCAGAAATTTAGGGATAAATACAGGTTAAATTCAAAAGGGGATATTGTGAACTTCAAGATCTCCACAGCAGCTAAGCAGGATCTTTTTTTTTAATAACTGATTAAAAATTTATTTTAAAATTAAGATTTTAATTTTTAAAACGAAAAATACAAAAGAAAATGAGGTGATATGCCTCAGGAAGGAAAGCAGCCAAAATGCAGTATGGACATCCTGCAGCACCTCTGGTCCCAGGGCAATCAATGCTTTTGCTTATGAGAGAAGATGACACCTTTGCTTACATTAGGAAGTGAAGTGGTTCATCTATCTATGAGTTAGCCGTTGTGAATGTTTCTTTAAGAGGGTTTTTTATGATTTAAATAAGTGAAACACAGAAGAGGACAGTAGAAGTAACTACAATGAGCATTACCATACCCAAAGTTTTACTGAAGAGAAATGTCTCCTGAAGTAAATCTTTTTCTCCTCATTACAGTCATAATTCTGCAGAAGTTATAGCTCTGCAGCTGTGAGAATCAGGCAGTAAAAGCTTATATTCCATGTTTCTGCAAAATTTTCATTAATTGACACTAACTGACTGTTACACTGGCATAACCAGAAATCCTTTGGAGAATTCATTTGAGAATCCTTTGAACAAACAGATAACCATAACCAAAATGATCAATTCCCTCATTTCATTCAGATCCAGAGAGATATGGCAGAATTAATATTTATTTTTTAAAAGTAACACAATACTCCAAAACTCTATTCTTTCCATATTTCACTGCTGAGTTCCACTTTTCATCATCTGTAAGCTCTTAGTCCAAAAGCCAAAAGAAGTTTTATTGCTGACTTCAAACAGGAGCAGAATTGGGCCCTAACATTCATATCACTTCATATGTGGTTTATCTAGAGCCTGAGATCTCATCATCTAAAACAGATTAAGAAACGTGTGGATTAATACTAGCAACTATTGAGACAGAAATGTAAATGCTTTCAGGTTTACTATTTCATACAATTAGGCTGTAATTTTTTTCATTTATACATTTTCTGCTACTAATTAAGGATCTCCACATGTCAGTTCATAGACAGAATTTCCCTATGAGTTTCTAGGCACAGTCAGAAAGTTACTACTGACATTTTCAGCTCAACACAACTTGTTTAAAAGATCTGGATGGAAACCTGGTTGAAATATACAGCAGAATTTTCAGAGATCTTAACAGGTCTGTAACTTCATCTGTAAACCCCTTTTACTAGGAAAATATTATGAAGAGCCATGGACTCCTGTGCTTCACAAGAAACATGAAAAATAATCTGATGGAGAACTAAAAAAAAACCCAACCAACAATTATTTGGTGGACTTCAAATACAAGCCAAAGAAAGACACAAAACACAATCCCTTTGACTACTGTGAAAATAGAAGTGGTTTACGTCCCGAAGGATTAGAATAATTTTATGCCTCACATATTACATCTGAATTACAGAAACACTCTTATGTAATGTTTTCATAGTTCCTAGATCTGTATTTTTAAATATTAAAAAAGCATAGTAATGGCAGTTCCCAGAAAACTGCTTCTTTTTTTTTTTTTTTTTTTCTGAAATCAAGACAGCAAAACTAACATCTGTGTTTCATAGAATTTGGATATGTTTACATTTTAGAAAATTTCTTCTTGAGAGTCATAGAGATGGAGGGTTTTGAGACCTATAAGGAGTGTAGACAGCAATTTTCAAACAAACAAACAAACCAACCCTTGAAACCTTGAGAATTCCCCGTTTAAGAAACTCTTTTTCTGCAGGACATCCTATGGGACCCCCGGGAAGCTGAACATCATGGTGGCCACGGCTGGTCCAAAAGCCGAGTCTGCCTTGCCTGAAGACGCCCAGGCAGCCTGACAGCTGCAGCTTCCTAGCGCCAAACTCCCTCCAGACACATTTCCTCATGGAGCCCGAAAACAACCCGTCTAGCTTTGCTCCTCTCTCTGCCCTGCCGTGCGCGCTGAAAAGGAGAGTCTTCAGCAGAGGCTACGCATTTCTGGGTAGCACTGCCGAGAGAAAAAAATGAATGCTTTAGCACTGAGCGCTGAAGGAGCAGAGCCACGGCCATCGGTGCCTTTTGTCACTTACACACGGACCCAGTGCACGCTGGCTGGTTATTCCTGGGCTGGCCGGGCTCAGAGAGGAGCGGGGCAGGAGCAAAGCGCTTCTGCAGCTCACGGGTCGCCAGGCTGGGCTCAGAGGATGCTGAGGTTGGGGGGGGGGGGCACTGGCACTGCACCCAAAAGTCGCCGCTCACAAAACGCCCGACTAAACTCCTGTCAGCAGCAGGGAGAGCCCAAGGCGCGCCGGTGCCTCAGAGCCCCATCAATGCAAAAGGAGGTTTGTGTCTCAGCCCTGGTGACCGAAACGGCCTTCGCTTGCCGTTCTTTCGCCGAGAGGAGCCACGAGTGGGACCCCAGGAGTGAGGCCGCAGCTGATGGCCGGGGAGGGACGCGCCTTGCCAGCCCCGCACGGCCGGGGGCGCCGCCGCAGCGCCCAGGCCGACGGGGTAACACGGGCTAGCCTGGCTGCAACGGGGATGGCCGGCTGCCGTCAGGGCGGGGAGACCGCGGGCTTGGTTTGCCTTGGCACGGCCGGGAGCGACTCGGCCCGGCTCCCCGAGGGCGGGGACGGTCCTGGCGGCGGCTGGCGACACCGACCGGCTCTCCCCACGGGGCACGGCCACCGTCTAGGTTAACCAAACGAGGATGAACTCGCTGAAGGGACTGCCAAGCCGGGGGATCGTATTGAAACAGACGGGGCAAGCAAGCAAGGCGTCCTGCGGCAGGGAAAAGCCCTGCGCCAAGCCGCGGCCCGTCCGCGGCCGCGGGGCCGGCTCTCCTGCGGCCAGGCCGAGGGACCTGGCAGCACGGGCAAGAGGAGCGGTGACCGACGGAAGCACGGAGCCGTCGGCTCGACAAAACTCCCGCGGCACCGAGTCAGGTGGGCGGGCTGGGCGGAGAGGCGGCGAAGCGCCGGGCGCAGCGGTGCAGCCGCGTTCCGTCCGCACGGTCCCGCCCCGCCCGAGGCTGCGCGGGGAAGGACGCGCGGTGCTGCCCACGGGCGCGCTGCCGGTGCGGAGCCTCCGCTCCGCGGCACCCGACGCCGTGGGCACACACCGAGTCTCCCGAACGGCACGCACCCCGCCCCGGGAGCTCCTGAGGTACCAGGAGCACGCTCCTCCGAGGAGCAGAGGTTTGCAAAGGCGGGCCAGGACAGAGCCGGGGGCTGAGCGGCCTCGTAGAGGGCAACTCGGCGGGACGAGATGGGATGGGGCTGGCACCTGGGGATCTGCCCCCGCCCCGCTCCGTGCAGAGGCCGGGCCGGGATTTTTCCGTGTCTCGGGTGGGCGCCGAATCCAATTTGTCGGGAGTGATGCTGTAGGCGGAGATGAGAGGCAGAGCTAACGGGGCTTTTGCTGTCCCCGTGCTTGTGAGGGGAAAGAGATGTCACGGTGCCCTAATCCCCAGCGCTGCGGCGGAAAGGTCGGCGCGCCTCACTCCCGCGGGCGGGAGGGTTGGGCGTCACCCCCTGCAAAACCGAGAAGCCCTGGAGTTTTGCTAGACACCGGTGAACAGCTCCTTCCCTTGCCCCTCTCTGAAGGTAGGATAGAGAGCTTAAAATTTTGCCTCCCACAGACAGTGGCCGAGCTCCGCAGCTGCCGGAGCCGTTCGCGCCCCCGCTGTAAGTGCGCGTCCCAGCTCACCTGCGCGGCGGCGGCTCCGCGGCGGGGCTCGGCTCGGCTCGGCGGCTCCTCGGCGCTGCCTGGGGCTCTGCGGGGCTCTGAGCGGTGGGTCACTCGGTGGAGCGGGTGGCGTGGGAGCCCGAAGCTGCCCGGGAGTCCATAGAGAGAGAGAATGTCGGATCCTGCCTACAAATTGCAGCAGCGCCGAGCTGTCTCCCATTTAAATGTCTGCCAGCTGAGATCTGCTCTCCAAGCCCCTCCAGATCATTGGACAAGCGCCTCCAAAGCCCGTGTTATCCGCCCCTTTTAACACTTCCATAAACTTCCACCAGGGAAAGCTTTCAGTCATCCAGATAAACACTCGACTACTTTCCTGTCTTCAGAGAATCGGTGCTAAAGGTCACCACCCCAAGGAATTGTTCCTGGAATGCACAGAAAATTCACATTTTCCATCCCCATTAAAGTATGACAGTTAAGAAGAATTAAATCCTCCCCCCCTCCCACCGCCTCCGCCGCCCTTCCGTGCACGCCGGGCGCTTCCCTGCCCGTGAGCCGGCCGGGCGAGTGGGCCCGCTGCGGGGAGCCCCTGACCGCCTGCCTTGGCCGGGAGGGAGGCAGCCACCTTTGCGGCCCTCCCTCTTGCAAATTGGCCTTCTGAGGTTCTGCAGTATGCCGGGAATTTCGCAGCTTTGGAGAAAAAAGCCTCTGTGGCAATGTCCGTATGCGGGGGGGGGTGTTAAACCGTGGCTTCCGATCCGCAGCTCCGCGGTCATGGCTCTGTATCACTGAGGGTTTGTTTTTGGGGGGAAGAGGGAATTTGTCTTTTTTCTTTTTTTTTTTTTTTTTTTTTTTTGTCCCTCAAGAGGCGAGACACCTCGGGTGTCCCATCACTGTGTCCCTCGGGGGGCGGGGGGCTCCTCAAGCCTCCCGAGAGGGGCGAGGAGGGCGAAGGAGCGGCGCGTCCCGCCGAGGCTGAGCGCGGAGCCGTCGGGGCAGAAACCGGCGGGGGCCGAGCGTTTTGCGGAGCCAGCCCGTCCCGGCAGTAGCCGGGAACATCTCTCTGCGCTGCAGCTGCCCGAAGGCGTACCCCGAATCTGCAGACAGCGTCGGGCTGAGGGCATCGAGGGGCAGAGCCCTGGAGGGCGGACGGAGGCCACGCTCCCTCAGTGCTAGCTGCAGCCCGTCCTCCAAGTGCTCCAGTGCCCGCGCTCGTCTCTTGCGGGGCTACCCACAGGCACTGCGGGCAGGAGCAGCCTCTGAACCACGGGCTGACTTTTGGGCTTGCTGATTAAGCGGAGGCGTTTGTCAGCTGCCCCTTCCAGCTGCGGGCGTCACGCAGTAGAAAGCAGCGCTGGGGAAAGCTCTGCCCCGGACACGAGCGCTGCAGGTGGTGCCGGTAGGTCTGTGCGGTACGAGTTACTGCCCGGGAATCAAACCAGCCCTCCTTCTCGGTCACCAGTCAGCACCCACCCTGGACCTCAGACAGACCCGGATCTCACCTAGGAGGCAGTTTTACTTGCAGGTGGGGAAGACGAATTAAAATGAAACGATTTGCTACATTAGGGATGCCAGAGCTACGCAAGACGCCAAGTTTCTGACTTCCACAGTACTTAGCGGTAGCTTGCTCTTTACTGTGACCGATACTCGGCTTGTCTTAGAGCCTGAGTGCTTAGCAAGGTAGTGATTAGGCCAATCACAATAATTCACACACATTTAGCGACAACTTGTTAAAAAAACAATCACTTCAGTCACAGGGCAAGTCACCATAGCGCAGTGGTAGGTGGCAGCATGAGAGAGAAAATGAGTTGCTGTGCAGGAGCCACTGAAATTCAAAGACAATTAATAGGGGAAGGATTACTGGCAAGGAATTACAGCAAGTGACATCTATATGGGTAGGAGAGGCCTAGGGAATTTGTACTATTTTGTTTGGTTAGGTTTTTTGTACTCATAAAAGTGCTATTGTTTTTATTTTATTTTACTTGTTTTAAAGTAATTTGTGTCCTTCGTGATTCCAAAGAAAAGGTCGCAGTTCCCACCTCTCAGTATGTTGACAGACTTTGTGCTCTTTTCCATTTCCTTCTGTGTAGCAGTTGTATTGAATTGAAAGGATCTATTCAGTCTCTTCTGCTCTCTGCCTCTCACTCTGATTACCAGCCCCAGGGAGGCTGGGGCGCTGCTCTGCACTTTGGTCCGAGCTCCTCTCGGTGCCCACGATGGCACTGCCACTGCAAGCGCTTTCAGGCACTGCTGCAGGCAAGCTGCCTCTGCTGTATTTTTCTGGTTTGTCATTTACATGCCACTCTGACACTGGCTTTCCTAGATGATATTTCTGGGCAACAATTGCAGAGGAGCTATGTGCACTTAATGCCTTACTGCATTCAGGGATCTAGCCAGAGCTGGTGATCTGGACTAGCTCTCACTCTGACTTAAAAGCAGACTAGGAAGCACTTTTGGAAGCAGGTCCTGGTGTAGAAGTTGTGTTCCCTCATCAAGATCCAACTTCCTTTTCTTGCAGCTGAATATCCTATATCTTCCCATTTGGTCTCTTTCTCTTAGCTTAATCCGCAGTGTTGAAATGTGCACTAGCACCTTGGGTCAAGCAAGACAAGTGTTCAGATTTCTTTTGACAGTTGGAAAATAGAATTATTTCTGCAAGTATTTGCTTGCCCAGTCACAAAAATACAAAAAATAAATTTGGGTACCAACAAGATAAATAATTTCAGCTGCATCTGGACTGAATGAAGGTAGATTTTTAAAAAATATTTTTAAAAGGACATTAAAAAAATGTTAAGTCTCTTTTTATTTGTTTGAGATTGAGGGAGGCAGGGGGAAAGATGTCTTTTCCCCTCATCATTCTTTCAGGTATCCAGAATAATTTCCAGCTTGGAAGATTTCTGCTGGAATCTTTAACAAAACATTCCATGGGTTTGCTCCAAAGCTTCAGCTGTGCTGGTTAGATCCCAACCAAAGACTGGTTTAAAAAAGCACCCAGTGCTGAAAGGGAAATACTTCTTCCTCCTAGCGTACCCAGGCTTGAAATTGTGTCGATTCTCATCAGGGCTTCTAATTGGAGCTGGAATACTCATGGGGAAATGTTGTCTAATTATTTAGTATTAAAGAGGCCTATGGAAATGTGCATGGTTTTGTGGTATAGGTATAGATAGGTTTGAGATGAAGAGCTTTAATATCATTGGGTGGTAGTGGTGTGTACTGTGAACCTGACAACTACAACTACCTGCTTGGTCTTGTTTTGCTTGTTTTTTGGTTTTTTTTTTTGGTTTGTTTTATTATTTTTTTGTGTGGTTTTTTTGTTGTTGTTGTTGTTTGGGTTTTTTTTTGTTTTTGTTTTTGGGGTGGTTTTTTTGGTTTTTTTTTTTTCCTTTTTTTTTCCTATTTCCTCGTTTCTTGCTGGTATTCACTGAATGAGTTGTTCTTTGTTTTAATGGAACAGTAAGAATTGTGTAAGCTTAAAAAAAGTGCTGTACTTAATTCTTGCAGAGAAAAATGTTATTGGGCTGAGCTCCTGCGTGCTACTGCTAGCTTGGAGGGTACTCAAAGAATCCTCACTGCCAGGACAGTTGGCACCTTATTAAAAGTCTTTGCAGAGAAGCCAAAACTCACAGGGGCCAGAACATCTTCTTGAGTAAATTGGAATCATTTTTAATGACTCAGTAAGTGATCTATGACAGTTGAGAACCTGACCCTAATACACCTAGAAAGCCAGTATCTTTCACTCCTAGATGTGTTCCTCCAGGTCAGAAGTAAGGCAAGCTGTCCAACAGAGACAGGGCACATCTGAACTGCTTTGCTTGGTATTTTAAACTCCTCTGTTAAGGAGAGAAAGGAGCTTGGTTTGTCTCACCAACACAGCAGTAACTTTTTTAGCAGAGCTGTAATGAGTCTAGAACAAGCACTGACTCAACTCTTGCTGAGTTTCTGGTGGTGTACACTGCTGTCTTCCTGACTTGGTGGATAAGATCAGCATTGTCTCAAAGTGATTCATGACTTGAGGCCAAAGCAAGATATTGGTAGTGTGTGTTGTGTGGGTCACTTGTGGAAGTGTCCATCATTACATTCCTGCTGAGATGTGTGAGCCTCTCTGCTATATATGGGAAGAACTCTTTGTTTTGTTATAGAAAAGAACTGATACTCAAAGAATCCAGTTTCAGGTGGATTTTAGACACATCCAAAAGTAATGGATAAGAACTTCATTGGAAACCAGCAAGGAAAATGGGGTTTTTGCTTGTTATTTCAAACCTAAGTAGGCAAACAATAATAGCTGGCATTAGGTGAGGGAAGGAGATGTGCATGTTGGTTTCATGATGGCATACTGACACACCAGGCCTGTTATTCTTCTGCAGGTACTCTCCTGTTTGTTCTATTGCAGATGATTATATGAAAAAACCCTCTAAGTAGCATTGTGCTTCATATCAAGCCTTATAAAGTAGTGCCAGAAAAAGCTGAGGTTATGCTGAGTTAAATTCTCTTAAAAGGTACTGGAAAATCAAGTTTAAGACTATGCTTCATGTTGGCAAGATTCTTTTTAAGTAAGAAATTTTAATCTCTCTCTTATTTGAGTTTTAGAATTAATGTCTGTATGATGGAGGTTGGAAAATACTGTACTTATTGGAAAAGCAGTATTTTATATTTGGTTTGACAGAACATCAACTTTTTAACATACAGATTTCCATCAGCTGAATGAGAGAAAATTAATTAGGGAAAAGTGCTCATTTTGGGGCTAGGGGTTTTTTTGGGGTTTTTTTTTTTTTTTTTTGTTTGTTTGTTTTGGAAAATGAAGTATTTTAGCTTTTTTTACTTTCAAAGTATTGCTTGATCTAGGAATAATTTGAAAATCCTCATAAATAGGACATTAGAAATCAAAAGAATAAATGAGTTAAAGAGAAAATCTTTAAGCATCTAAATAATTTACAAGTCTTGGGTTCTGCTCTGAAAAGTATGATGTCCTGGTATGCTTGAAAAGCTTTCTTGTTCAGCATATACTGCATGTAGAGTCAGGTTGTGGGCTTGTAATGATGTCCACACCTAGGAGCCATGGTCACTCACCAGCATTCCACTCTGCTATGTGATGCAGACAGAGAAGAAAAAATATGTTTTCTGGCCTCGAAACACCTACATACCTAATACAATCCATATGTGACTATTTTCTAAAAGCTATTTAGAAAAGCTTATTTTATTAGGATGAAGTTTGATTGCTGAAGAAATATAAACTTTTATGCCAAATGAAGAAATATCATACGTCAAGCTAAACTGTTTAAACTCTTTT